CAATGTGAGAACTGAGATGGCAGCACCACCTTCTGACTCTACCTCTCATGATAGTGATGATGAAGGCACCACCTACTTGAAAGCTTTTAGGATGGGTTTGAAATTCTTCAATACTTATAACTTAAATGTCTTCTTTGCTGTCCATTTTCATTACTTAGCTTTTACTAATTCTTTATTTTAATGATTATATACTATAGAAATATCTTAAATGTAAGAGCAAAGATGCCACATCAATTGAAAAGTCTGAGTTATACTATTATTTGGAAGAAGTGCCCCTTGATTCTAACTTGTTTGTGAAATTTAATGTTTTGGAATATTGGAAGACTAATGCAACTAGGTTTCCATGCCTTTCAAAGATGGCATGTGATATTCTTAGTATTCCAATTACTACAATTGCCAGCAAATGAGCTTTTAGCATCGATTCACGGGTTCTCACAAAATATCGAAGTTCTCTTCTCCCAGAAAATGTTCAAGCCCTTATTTGCACTCAAAATTGGATTCTTGATTTTCCTAGTGGTAATATATTTGTTTTGTATATATTAAGCTCACCATAATAGTAAATATGCTAACACTTTTTTCTTATATGTGGCAGATACATTCGAGTCCGAGGTCAAGAAGAAGGACATTGTTGATGTTAATCTTTTGGATGCTTCAGATATTGCTTCTAATATCATTATTGCATATTGAAAATCATTAGATTAGACCTATTTTGTTTGAAAACTTTGTATAATTAAGACTTGTTGAAGCCTTGAAGGTTGATTATATTTCTAGTTTATGTGTTGGATTTGCTGATCAAATTTGGATTGTATAACTTATAATTGTATTTTGGTGATAGTTTGGATAAATTTATATTTCAAAAACATGCTGTAAAAAAAGCGTTGAAAAAAAAATTGGCAGGCTGGCGGGCCAGCCCACCTACTCGCCATGGCGTGTTAGGTTTGGCTTTTTGCCAACCCGCCAAAATGCGAGCTGAAGCAACCCGCACCGTTTAGCCCACGGGTTGTGGTAGGCTGGCTCGCAACCCGCGGGCTGGCCTATTTTCCCAACTCTACCCAAGACTGATCATAGGTGCCAATACTGTCTTTCCAAATCTAACTCAATCCTTTCAGTCATCTTTGAAATCATTCATCTTTCTTGCGTTTTCTTTTTCCCCTTAATTTTTAGCTACCTCAAGCCATTTTCCTATCATGATGCCCGTGAAATTTTCTAGACCATTGGCTTGTCTCTATGGCCTTCTGGGCTTAATATCATATCCATGCCAATCTACCATGCCTTATGATTTTCTTTTTTTATCTTGTGGGGAGAGATCCTATAAAATTGTCTCTATCCTCTTCTCATATTTTCCATCCTTTTCTTATTTTTGGCCTATTTTGTTCCTATTGGGGTAAGGTTAACTCTGTAAATCTTCCTGCCTTTCAGAGAACAGCCCACTCTTGATGGAGCGACGTCAACTTTATATCAGCGAATCACTTGCTTTTCAAAGAACCACTCGCCTCCAATAGAGTGACGTCAACCCTGTATTGGAGAATCACTTCCTCTTCAGAGAACAGCTTGCCCCCAATAGAGTGGTGTTGACCCTGTATTGGAGGATCACTTTCTTTTCAGAGAACAGCTCACCCTTAATAAAGCGGCATCAACCATAAGCCGGAGAACCACCTCCCAAATATATTTTTGAAATACTCTATGGCCAAGACTGGTCAGTTGTTTAGTCTCTGTCCTAGCACATTCTTTTCATACCGTATCCCTATTAGGGAACCCTCTCCACCTACTTTACTTAATCACTATGGCAGTGGCATCCATCCAAACTCTTATCTCTTGCATTCTTATTGAACTGAGTACTATGGTCGTACCTCTCATTGATGCCTTAAGGACATAAAGGGATATTCATTAGTGCTTATCGTTACCATGTATCTAAATATTATCAAGCTCTAAGTATTATCGGAAACTTGCTCATCACTTTCTATATATCAATTTTTAGTGCAACCATCAGCTATTGTATTCTCATCTATTTCCTCTTCATAGTATCCTCAAAAGGGATCTTGCCTGATTCTAATCTTTCAATTTACCTCACCTTCTGACCAATTATTCTTATGGTCAAATATCGACCACCATCCTTTGATCACATTACACAGCGAATATTCAATCACTACGCTGTGTTATTTAGGTCAAGCACTTAACTTAGTCTTAGTTCTTCATTTCGTATCATCTCGTCTCTATCCCTTTTGGTCTATCATGCTTGAGGGCTTTTATCCATATTCAGGGTTCTAATACAACTTCAAGCATCTTATCCTATCGTCCTGCCTCTATTTTACTCAGGTCTATTATGACCCTGTCTCAGGTATTTACCCGTCTTTACCTTTGTCATCCAATTTGGCCTCACTTCAGTGTGAAGACCAAATCCTCTGGCAGGAAGGGTCAATGCTTTCTTCTTACAACCAAGGAGTAAATTATGCAAGGATAACCCATTCAACCGAGTATAACATCAATATCATGGAAAGGCATGCTTATGGGGTTCAGTGTAGTGCAACAAGGAATGTATTAGAACGTGCAATTTAAATAACTATCAGAAGTTAAACCTCTAGTGCCCGTAGGAATGAAAATACAAAGATCACATAATAACGTGTCAATGGTGAGGCCTATGCGTCTAGCGTCATCATACGATGTAAAGGAATGATTGACGCGCGAGTCAAACAATGCATGTATAAAGAGATCATTCAGAATAATTGTACCTCAGGGCATCTCAGGCGACTTACTAGTCTCTTCCTTACTGAGGGCAAATACCCTACCTTGAGTTTATGGTCTCAAACTATCCATATTCTATGGGCACTCTCGTATGAAATGTCTTGGCTTTCCACACTTAAAGCATACGTTCTGACCTATCAAGCATCGCTTATCCTTATGGCTCTTACCACAAATCTCACATTCCCCTCCTTGGCAAATGGGGTCCATTCCTTCTCGTCTTGCTCTTCCTCCTCGTTTAAGTCTTCTTGACAAACCAGGCCTTTTCTGTTTCCTGCTATGGCCGGAGGAAGTCCCTTCTTGACGTGGCCTCTCTGCGGGTCTCTCAGCCCTTTGGGTTGCCCTAGTTAAATCTTGATGATTCTGGCTATTCTCCGTAATGTGGCAAACCTCCATCGCCTTATTAAATACTTAAGTTGTCATAGGACTACCTTCTCTCTTAACTTAGGCTTCAGCCCTCTAATCATCTTTTTTATAAACCAGTGCTCATCATTCATGTACTGGGGATAAGTAGAGTACCTGGACAACTTGATGTACCTTGGCAAGTACTCATCAAAAGGTTCATTTGCTGATTGTTTAATCATGAGGAATTCGGCTTCCTTCTCATCCCTCACAGATTAGGGAAACTATTTCTGGAGAGACTGATCTTTAAACACTTCCCACATGATCAGAGTTTCATTAGCTTGGAGGACCAGCTCCCTTCCAACTTATATATCACCATCTGAGCCTTCCTCTTAGATGGATACTCTAGTATAGCAAAGATCTTTTCCAGCTGTGTTATCCAGTCTTTGGCTACTTGCACATCAAAGGTCCCCTCAAAAGCTGGAAAATTATGTTTGCCAAACTTAATAATCTATTGCTATCGTGTATCAAGCTCTGCAGCAGGTTGGGGCCTCACAGGAGCTGTTCCTGGTAGTTGCTGTGGTGGTTATGGTGTAGGTTGGGCTGTCCCGGCTATACCTTGTCTGGGTTGTCGTAATTGTGCTAGTGCTATTGCTACTGTCGTAGCTATAGTAGCATCTCTCTCCTACTCTTGCCTAGCCTGAGTGGCTTGTATCTTAGCCATTGTCCTCTATTGTTCCTCTAGTCTCTCCATAATCCTTTCTATTGGATTAACCAGGGGTCTTGACAATTCTCCCCTTCCTCTTGATCCTCGTCTTATTGTCACCATTTTGCTGTTTTTGTCTTAACTATAAGAGGAACAGAATTATTAATTTACATAAACAATACTTTATATTACCTTTCTATTAACATATCCACATACATGGCACAGTCAACAAAACACTATTCAAGTATCAGTACAACCCGTCACAACCATCTAACATATTATACATTCATCCATATTCAAAACGTAGTGTCAAGAAAGGGAAATGTAATGAGAACAAAGATCTTCAAGTCATCAAGTAGCTGATGGAAGGTAGGTGATATGGAGCAGCTACAAATCTTTGAATCTCATCTAGCCATACTCTGGTTCTTGGTAAAGCATCCATCAATGCTCGGCTCCAGAGAGCATCATTAGTATTTGGATCCTCCTCAATTACTTGATTGTAAAATAGTCTCACATAAAGGAGAAAATCCAAATAAGTAATATCATACGGGTTCTAGGTCTGGTCTATGTACCTTCCCAGTTTCCTTAGCTCTGTGAGGATGGTATCATAGTCTTTGAATTCTTTCTTTACTAATAAAGGTCTTTTCTAGATGGGTATGTTCTTGGCCTTGTCCTGTTCTGGTCTTACCATCCTAATTGGTATTGCCCTGATTGCATTGGGGCCCGCTTCATCTGGACTAGATTTAGGCCTCACGGTACTAATAGGCACTGCTCTAAAAGCACTGGGGCCTGCCTCCTTTGGCTGCGGCCTCGGTAGCATTTTGTGCATCACCCTCCTCAAGCTTTATAATATCATTCGAGTCTTTCTCAGAGTAGATATCCTCTATTTCACTGCGGAGCTGTTAGTATCCTGCTGGTAGAGTTGGGTCATCAAGGTTTGAGTTATGCGGGTAGTACACTCTATGTACAACTCCCCTAGCATTCTCTGGTTCACTGTTTCCCCAGAATCATCGCTGTAGCAAGCCATACTTTTCCTGCACTCTTCAACTTATAAAATACACGATCCACCACAAGGTATAATCCCGTCTAGTAACATCTAATCAAGCAGCCACATTTCATAATTATTACTAGCATTCAATCACCATTCATCACTATAGTTAACAATCAATCACAATTCACAATCCTTAATCGAGAATTAACCACTTATCACAGATCAGGCAACACAGCGCAACTTGGACAGAGCCAGAACCTTTGCTCTGATACAAAAAAGTATAACACATCCTTTAATATCCCATTATACGTCAATTGGAACCATTATAACATGTTGCGTAGCGTTGCTGAATGAAAATTTTCAACTTCAAAATTTTACCTTTAATTATGTCCATACACTGTTCATCCGAATTTGAGTCAAATTTGAAAATTCATAATTAAACCTGGAAAAATCAAAACAAGGTGGTTCCAATTTTTACGAGAAGCTTGCTAAGAGTTTTATAGAGAAAAAAATATTCATTGGACTTAATTCCATCCAGAACAGCACCAGAAAATTCAACAAAATACACTGTTCATATGGTCAATTTTTAAATTTTCAGGATTTTAGCCCAACTTTGGAAGGACATAACTCTTAGCACAAAAATCCAAATTTGATGATTTACCACTTGACTTAAAGTTAAAAATGAGATCTATTGGCCTGCAAAATCTTAGATCCAAATTTTATCATTTGCTTATTATTTTATGTGTCGCCATTTTACCCCTAATTTAGGTAATTTTATCCCCTAATTACTTCTTTCATGAATTTTATGTTCCTTTTTTCTTTTCCATACCCTTTATGCATTCTACCACTCAATATTTCAATACTCGTACATGTCATGCCAATATAAGTTACAACATATTACCATCGATAATCCATTACAAACTTGGCATAAAGTTTAGTAACACATCACATGACAATACAAAATAACATAATGATCATCAAGCTTCTTTATCCCAATACCAACTCCATGCCTTGCTCCATAAATGATCCACTTTCTAAATGATAAATAAATTGACATAGGGGGAAAGAGATTTCATAGAAATCTCAGTAGTATTTGAATTACAATTATCATGCAAATCAGGTAAGTTACAATGTGACATGTTATAGAATTTCAAGACATCCTCAAGTCACATGAAATCATATCTAACAATATGCTAGGAAAGAAACATTAACACTTCCACACTAACGCAATTCAATGCATTTGGACAAAGCATAAATCAAGGGTATCCAACCAACCAAGATGACAACACAAGTTCCCTAATCCAAGTAAACAACACATCACATTAAACAAGCAAGACAAACAATCAAATTATAATTCAAAGCTACCTTTTTAACACTTGTCTACTAGGTTACTTCAAGGAACAAAGCTTCTCCTTCGTTCCTCCTCACAATGCCTATTAAACCAAGTATAAACATAGGCCACATTAATCACTAAACAACTTAAACTCAATCCTTAAACTTTAACTTAACAATTTCCTCTTTTTTCTTTGATTTTTAATAAAATGATTCCTCCTTTAGAATCAATAACCTCATGAGTCATTACTACACAATTTTTTATGAGGAATCCAAATATGCAATTAGATTTTTTAAAATTCACACTTCTTTCCCATGAACTTGGTTTGGCCAAATAGGGGGTTATAACTTCCAAAAATTCTATTTTTGATTGCAATGATTTTAAACACTTCCCAACCATATATCCCTATACAAAAACATGTTTTAAAGCCATTGGAATCATCAAATCAAGCCAAAACAATTTGCTTCTGCATGAATAGTGCTTGGCCGAACTCCCCCCTAAAACCTGAACTTTGATTTTGTTCCAAAAATCAATCCATACACCATTTAATCTTGCTTATTCCACTTGGTTATTAAGGTTTCTATCCTTCCCTAAGTATCATATGGCTGGACCGAAATTTACAGCATTTTCCCATGATTTTTCCAAGCCAAAATCCTAATCCAATTAATGTAAAACTTAGGGATAATGATGCTTAGACATACCTTAATGTTTCCTTGGTTTAAGTTGGATGATTCCTTGCCTTAAACACTTGAAATTTTCAAATGAAAATGGCTGGAGCTATAGTGACAGAGTCTCCACTTGTTTTTCCAATTTCCCAACATTATTTGTATTTTTTGGAGGGGATATTTATAGACCAATTAAGCTGCCTCCCCCTCTGGTTTTTGGATGACCAAATGGCAGAAAAATGGGGTGAGTTGGCAGCCATCAAGTGCAAGGGAAGTTCAGATTTGAACAAGTGTCCAATCTCTAGATTTTTCCACACAATTATCCCTTAATTTTGCATTTTATTTAATAAAAATATAGGGACCTGGAAGCTGCACGAAATTGGGCCCTTATTAGGCTCAATGTGGGCCCCAAAAATGACTTGGGATGGTCCAAAAGATGGCCCACAAACCAAATCACTATTTCAAACTACTTTGAAACTTTACCGGTTACTATTCATTAGTAACATTCTATAATTTTTCCAGACCTCAAAAAATTTATTTCTCTTCATAATAATTCACCTTTTAATATGTGAACATGATATGAAAATTTTCATAATTTTTTGCCATCTCTATATATTTATTTTGAATTTTCTCTGATTAGGCCTCTATCGGTGTCATTGCGGGAAAATAAACTCCCTAAAATTAATTCCTGAGCTTCCAAGGCCTAGAAATAATTTTATAAATTCAAGAAAATATTTATATGATTTTTACATAATTTTCCCATAATTATTGAGGCCTTCAATTAATTAAAATAATTATTTTTCTCTGATTTCCTAATATTTTCCCGAAAAACCTCAGTTTACGGGAAATTCCATAACAATTTGTTTTCATGATAATTCCACCTTTCAAGCCTCAACTAAATTTTCAAAACCTCTAATTTATACTTTTCTCATTTTTTAGAATTTTTCTCCAAATTTCCCATTTTGCCCTTCCTAAACCGATAATTATGAAAATGCCAACCCAGACCTTATTGGGGTTTCACATCAAAAGTTAGTTCATCTCCCAGTCTAGTTTCTACATTGGCCCTTATCTCAATTTTTGATTCCCTATGTCCAAGTGAGATTTCTCAGGATGTGACATTCAGTCCCAGTTAACTATTAAGCTAGTGTAAGTCCAAGGGTATCATTTGAAGCAAGATCATCTGTACTGGAAAGATAGATTAGTGGTTCCTTAGGACCAACCCAACTTAATCACCAAGCTTCTGAATTATTTCTATTCTTCCATTATTGGGGGACACTGTGGTTTCCTACGTACTTTCTACCAAGTGGCTTGTCTATTTTTTTGGCCATATATGCAACATGATATCAGGGATTATATTTGGCATTATGTGGTGTGCCCACACATCAAGTCCTCACAATTTTACCTGGCTCAATTACTTAAACTGTTACCCATTCTAGACAAAATTTAGGAGTATACTGTAATGGATTTTATCATGGTATTGCCCGTTATTAAAGGACCTAGTGTGATAATGGTGGTTGTTGATCGATTATCCAAATATGGCCATTTCATTCCACTACCTGCAAATTTCAATGCCCCATGGGTAGTAGAGGCATTTCTAAAACATGTGGTCAAGTTGCATGGAATGCCTAAAAGCATTGTCTCGAATGGGGACAAAGTGTTTACTAGTGCCTTTTGGTGTCATCTGATGCAATTACAACAAACACAACTCTGCTTTAGTTCAGCCTACCACCCATAATCGGACAGCTAGTTAGAGGCCCTGAATAAATGTCTTGAACAATACCTGCAATATTTTGTGTTTGACTATCCATGTCAGTGGTTGCTCTTCTTACTATGGGCAGAATTATGGTACAATATAGCCTACCATTCAGCAATTGGTATGACTCTTTTCAAAGTAGTTTATGGACGGGATCCACCACTAAGGCTATCGCACTCTTTCCTAGAAGATACTCCATTTGACATTCACCATCAATTGGAATAAAGAGATGCGATGCTATTGATTTTGAAAGCAAATCTCCTCAAGGCATAAGAGAGGATAAAATAGTTTGCTAATATGAAGAGAGTTGACAAAGAATATAAAGTGGGAGAGTGGGATGGGTACTCATGAAATTACAACTCTATCGACAGCGCTATGTGCAATTGAGGAAGTTTTAGAAACTGGCTTTGCGTTACTTTGGACGCTTCCAGATTGAACAATAAGTGGGTTTGGTAGCATATAATTTGCAATTGCCTTAATCAGCGCATAGCCACTCGATGTTTCATGTGTCCTGTTTGAAGCCTTTCCTATGTGATCAAACTGGGGTCCCCTACTTGCCGTTACCCCTTCATACATCACCAGAGGGTCCCATAAATGAGCCTCAAGTAGTGGAAGATTTTCGTGCCATTCAAAACAATACAAAACATATCGAGCAATGTTTAATCCGTTGGGCAAGCTCTGATATCTACACTTAGGAGACTATTACTGACATATGCATGTTATCCTCTATTCAACCTTGAGGACAAAGTTATTTCTAAAGGAGGGGGTAATGTTATGAGCCCAATAACCAAGGATGACCTAAGCCTAATAGAAGAAGCAAGACAGGTGAGGCGCAGTGCAAGGTGAAAAGAAAAACGTGGAAATTAAGGGAAATTGAGGAAGCGGACACTATATAATAAGACAAAAGTGGTTAGAGGAGGGTGTGAAATTTTTAGTGACCCCTTCTTCTCTTTGATTGATTCTCTCTCTCTCTTTGTCTCTGTGGCATTCTTTCTTCTTTGGTAGTGTTCTATTGTTGTGTTTGTTCTTCGTTCCTATCTGTAACTCTATGATTTTACTAGAATTATCAACTGAATATACAGAGTATATCCCATTTTATTGTCTAGTGGCTCCCTCGCATTTCATTTTATTATCTGCCGATTCTTTTGCATTAGAGCAAACATCAACGCGCGCGCGTGCGCACACACACATCCTCCACTCACACGTATTGCTAGACATCCTCTCCCACAGTAGTTACCAAAGAGCAGTGTCGAAAAAGCCACTCCCACTCATGAAGAGAAACAAGCTCGCACAAGGGTAAACCTTAGGAGAGAAAAGAAAGATTCATTAATTCCTTGAGTTCTTCTCCTCGCTCTAGCATGTGCTAGAAGACTTCCTCATCATCATCAAATAGTTCATCTATCACCATGCACATTTCATCGTTCGCAACCCTGTCAAAGATTTCTTATAGGATAACACTTGTGGTTTCTCTATCTGAACTCTATCCAGCCTTTGTTTATTCCTTTCAGCATTCCCCACCCCCGGTCTCTGAGGGTTGTCCTGTTTCAGTTTCCTTTTCCTCCACACAGTCATCCATTATTTTTTTTTAGGGATTTCAACTACTTTCTTCTTATTGTTTTTGCCATTTTCTGGTGCTTGGACCTTCTGGTCAGGTGGATTTTTTTGTTCTGTTTTTTTAGTGCATGTAAAGCCAGCACAATTCCCAAGAAAGGGAAAAAAAGACTTTCCTTTGGCTCTTATAATTAGTATTTTCATTTCAACATCTTTTTTTCATTTCACACCTCTATGTTTAATTGATGTCAATGTGTTCTTCATTTCTCAAGTTCTTTTTTTAAACTTAGCACAGGTATCCTTTTTTTAAATGTGGGCATCTCTCCTAACAGAGATTTGAACTTTGGTTTATCACGTTGTGAAGAACTAGCCATTTCTGCTACACCCAACTCATGTTAGTTCATTTACCAAGTTTGGAATGGTTGCATGAATGAAAAAAATAATAAAAAAGAAGCCTAATTATCATTTTTATGGAAGGAGAGGGATCCCTTCTTCACAGACTTGTAATTTAAATAATCTAGACTCTTTGAAACCCAAAAACATTGCAAAATATAATGTTCACATTTCTTACTTCTTACAAAAAATAGAAAACCCTCATAGACTAATAATTTATCTCATAATTTTATTCAACATTTAGAATTATAATCTTTTTTCTTTAAAAAAATAATCAAATACAATTTAAATTGCCAAATATAATCGTAATGAATAAAATGTAAGAAAATGGAAAATAATTCAAGACATAAAAAATGTACGGACTTCATCAATTAATATAACAAACATATAAATCATTGTCATTTTTTCATATGACATGTTTCATAGACAAAATAAACCAAAGGATAAAAGAAACAATAACTCAAACTTCTATATAAAAATTATTGAACTAGTGGTGCATTTCCAACATTTTATGTAAATATGACCTTATCTTTCTCAATGAGACCATAACATCAGTCATCATGATTCGTGCTTCAGGTAATTCAATGCAACAATTTAATGCCAGCTCAAAAATTGATGACATATGGGGTAATATGTTGCTGATATTTGGATTCCCTTTCTGCAGCAAATTAACATCTAGAATGTTGATGATTGAATGTGGCGTTGATTTTCTAACCCAATCTTTCAAATCAAGACCTTCAACAAACATTTCATCGGTTGGCTTCTTCCTTGTAAACATCTCCATTAGCATGATACCATAACTATACACATCTCCTTTGAAAGAAACCACGCCTTTTGATCCATACTCTATATGTCAAAAGAGAATATAAGATTTGCTATTAAACTTTTATTTTATATAGCTAATACAAATCTTCGTATATAGGAATGAAAAATATGTATCAATGATTGAATAGTATAAAATTTCACATAGAATAATAAAAAAAATGACACAATTCAACTAAAATACTATTGAACTATTACCTGGTGCCATATAGCCAATTGTCGCCAATGTTTTTGTATAAGTTTCCAATTGCCTTTCACCTAATAGTTTAGCTATACCAAAATCACTGAGATGAGCCACCATATCTTCATCCAACAAAACATTGCCTGGTTTTATGTCACAATGAACAATCGGAGTAGAAGTACCATGATGAAGATACTCTAAAGCAGCTGCCACATTAACCATTATATTCAACCTTTGCAAGATATCTAAACAATAGTTATGAGAGTACAACCATCTATCAAGGCTTCCATTTGGCATGAATTCCATGATTAGAGACTTGAAATCATCATTTGAGCAACTACTAATAATCTTAATGAGATTACGGTGGCGTAGATTGCATATGGCAGCACATTCAATATCAAAACATCTCAATGCTTCTTCCATGTCTATGTTAAATACTTTAACAGCAACTATCTTTTCATTTGGAAGAACTGCTTTGTATACTGATCCAAAACTTCCAGAGCCAAGAAGATTGCTCTCATCAAATCCATTTGTTCCTTGCAGAAGCTCATAATAGGATATCCTTGGTGGTGCATCCAGGTTTGTTAAATCCCTTTTGGTTGAATAATTGGCATTATCTCTATTATGCTTTAGAAAGACAATGCCTGTAACAACCAAAATGACAACCATGACAGGCACTGAGCATTTTACAACCAGCATCACTTTATCTAATTTGTGCTTGTTTCCTCTCCTACATGGTTTTACTTCTAGGTGAGGTTTTCCACAGAGATCTTTATTCATCATAAAAGATTGAGCAGTAAAATTTTGAAAAGGACCACCACTTGGAATTTCTCCATCCAAAAGATTGTAGGAAAGATTAATGGATTTAAGATAGAGAAGTGACTCTAAGGACTTTGGAATCATACCAAACAAATAATTATGAGAAAGATCTATTGACTCAATACTTATCATACCACTTAGCGATCTAGGTATACATCCTTGTAATTTGTTGTGAGCCAAAGATAGGTTTTGCAAAGTTATCAACCCGCCCATAGTTGTAGGGATGCTTCCTGAAATTTGGTTTCTTGACAAATCCAATAGTATAATTGCTCTCAAGTTTGATACCTCTGGTGAAATTATTCCCCTCAATGCATTGGAAGATATATCTAAAACCAAAATATCTTTGAGACTCCAAAGAGAAGAGGGTATATGAGAAATCAACTTGTTAGAGCTAAAATTCAACTTCCGCAAAGAAGTGTTTCCAAGACATCCTGGAATTGCTCCCGAAAACATGTTGCTGGCAAGATTCAACTCACTTAAACCATTAAGATGGCAAAGTTCTTTTATAATGAACCCTTGCAACATGTTGTTACTTAGACTTAACTGTTGAAGGTTATGTAATCTGTTGATTGTGTTTGGAATCAACCCTGTGAAATGATTCTCATCCAACTTTAGTTTTACCAAGTTTGTTAAATGTTTGACTGCAGTGGGTATAGATCCACTAAATTTATTGGATGACAAATCTAACTTAATGAGCTTAGAAGCATTTGATATGCTGGTTGGAATTTGTCCAATCAGGTCATTTGCATCCAGCAATAAGGTTTCCAGCTTGGGAAGGTCAATTCCTAAATATGATGGGAGAAGGCCGGATAGGGAATTACTACCAAGGCGTAAGATTCTCAATGTCGAAATGTTGAATATATTTGAAGGAATAGGTCCTTGCAAATGATTAAGGGTCAAGTCTAAGACATTAAGTTCATCGAGTTTGCCTATCTCTTTGGGTATAAAACCTGCACACAAAAATTGTTAGGGATCATGACTTGTATATAGTTCAGATGAGAATACATACAAATAAATTTATTTTTATTCCTTTTTAAGCCTTTATAACATTTTTGAAGTAAAAATTATGGAAATCATATAAATTATCTTTAGTTAAGATGCCATAGTTTATTGAAGAATTGTTTGAAAGTTAAAGTTTAATTTTAAGTTGTAATTTTTGAATAACTATTTAATAGAAAATTAATAAATTTCTGATATAGAAAAGAAACAATTGAAAATTTTGAGGAAAGAAAATTAAACAGGGAAATGATCTATTCTTTAATTGAGGCCAGAGGAAAATGGAGAAAAATAAAATCTCATTTTAGTTTTACTCCACTAGGGGAAAAAAATAAGAAAACCATAAACTCCCATCAACTCATGATTTGATCTTTAGGTATTTTGGGATACTAGCTATATTCAAGCCCCCACTAAGAATATGGGCAATATTAATGAAACCATGAAAAAGAAAAATCTCATTTCAAATTTATGAGAAGAAAAATAAAACAGTTAACGTTACTTGCATATAATACACATGATATATGTTTGTGTGTGTATTATAACAAGTAAAACACTGCGTCTTACAAATATTAGAAATTATAAAATGTACCGAGAAATTATTTTTCTTTGTCAAGGTCTTCGTAAAAATTTGGAAATAAAAAAATTAAGAAAATCATAAATTATAGTTAAGGTGAAATGACCAGTATTTCTTTTGAAAAATAAAAGTGTTTGTACTGTAATTATTGAATAAGTGTTTAATTTGAAATGAACAAATTTGAAAAATAAAAAATTTGAAAAAGAAGCATAACAGATGAAAAAGTGTACTCTACAATAGAGAGGAAAAAATGCGAAATTAAATTTGTTAGGAAACAGATAAAATCTGAAAAAAAGTACTGGCATATAATAAGTACGTATGTTGCATTTAAATTTGGTTGAACAAGCATTTTATGAGTTGCAGTTATTGTATAATTTGTAATTGTAATTGATCTTCTATACATATCTAAATAATTTTTGTTTATTGTACATTTTTTTAAAGCTTAGATAAGAATAAATACAGATAAATTTATTTTTATTATTTCTTAGGTCCGTTTAAAATTTTTAAAATAGAAAAATTATAGGAAAAACATAAATTACTAGAGATGCCATGATTATAGAATATTTTTTTAAAATTAAAGTTTTTATGTTGTAATTATTGAATAATTATTTAGTAGGAAATTAAAAATTTTGTGAAATAGAAAAGAAACAATCGAAAAAATAAAATTAAATGTTATTTTGGGATTGTATGAATGAATGAAATGCCCTAAAACAATATCTCCTTTTAGTTTTACTCTACCGGAGAAAATGATCTAAAAGGGAAAAAGCAAAAGAAAATCATAGACTACCATCAATTGATGTTTTGATCTTTGATATTTTGAGATTGTAAATCAGTGGCTATATTTAAGCCCCCGCTAAGAATATGTGCAATATTAATAAAATGATGAAAAGAAAAATCTCGTTTTAAATTTATTCTGTTAGAGAAAATGATAAAAAGAAGAAAATAATAAAAATAAGATATAATAATCTCATGATATAATAAATTTATTCTATTAGTAGCTATAATCACTGCTTGTAAAAAGACTGAATGGATTTGTAAGAAGACAAATAAAACAGGTTACGTTATATGCAGATGCTATAACACATAAAACAACACGTGTCTTGCAGATATGAAAAAGGCAGAAAGAAAATTCCTTATAAATTTTTTGCGCATTGCCAGCAAATCATGTGTTGCAAATAGCATTAAACTATTCGGCAATTTATCCCTCCAGGAAATTACTATGTGAAGAACTTTAATTTGAAAAGCTTTATTGGCAATGCGCAATGTGTTTAGCAATAATTCTAAAAGTTACGTTAAATATGTTAAAAAGAATTTCAAGTAATACTCATTTCAACCATATGTGTAAAATGTACGAAGAAAAAAATTTAGAAATGAAAAAAAAAATCATAAATTACACTTAAGCTGAAATGACTAGTATTTCTTCTGAAAAATAAAAGTTTTGTACTGCAATTATGGAATAAGTATTTAATTAGAAATTAATGAATTTGAAAAATAAAAAATTCAAAAAGAAGCATAACAGATAAAAAAAGGCACTCTGCAATAGAGAAAATTATAAAATTAAAGTTGTTAGGAAACAGATAAAATCTTTTAAAAAAAGTACTAGCATATAATAAGTGTGCATGTTGAATTTAAATTTGGTTGAACAAGCATTTTATGAGTTGCATTTAGAGAATAATTTGTAATCCATTTTTTATACATATCTAAATAATTTTTGTTCATTATACATTTTTAATTACTACTTGTAATTTTTTTAAAATATTATAATTTTAATTTCAATTAAAAAATTTTGAATTGTTACAATATGTATATATATAATAAATAAGTAAAACCAACTCCAAACTTATCTGTATTGTAATATTATTTAAATATTAAGATGAAAGAAAAGAAATTAAAGTAATTAATTAGAGACAGAAAAAATCTTGGGAAAAAAGTATTGTATGGTCTGAAGTTTTGTTATCAAATAGTATATGTGAGGACTTCGTTTTGTTTTTCTGTTACAAATTTCACAGCATCCATCTGTTCATGATTCGGATATATACATATTTAAATCATTTTTTGTTCATTGAAAATTTTTAATTCTAATTAAATTATAGGATTGTTTCCATGCATATGGACACGTGCACGTGCATATACATATGAAGATTTAATTGAAATGAAGATCTGGAGTTTTGCTTAATTGAAATGAAGATTTATATTTAATGTGTGACACACGCTCCAAATTTGTGTTTACTTTAACATTAAACTTACCCTGTTATACAAAGTCAATCAAATATTATTAACAATGGTATGTTTAAGAATAATTCTAAAACTTACGTTAAACATATTGAAAAAAGCTCAAGTAATATTCATTTCAACCGAAAAGAGTAAAATATGAAAATAATTTTTTTTCATTTATTTAAGTCTTTGTAAAAATTTTGAAATAGGAAAAATTGAGAAAAATCATTAATTAAACTTCCTCCGAAATGACTTGCATATTTTTTTAAAAAATAAAAAGTTTTTATACCGTAATTTTTGACTAAATATTTAATTTCAAATTAATGAATTTGAAAAATAAAAAAAATATAAAACAGAAGTTAAACAGATAAAGAATTTACAACAGATAAAGAATTTACTTTTACTCTAGAATAAAAAGAGAGAACATGTTGATTTTGGGCGCACAAATATGTATGCACGTATGTATATTACATAGTTTCTCCATTCTGTTGATTTTTTTTTTGTATTTTTCTAATTTAATATTTAAAATTATTCAAAAATTATCATATGAGAAAATTTTACTGTAAAAACTTTATTTAATTTCACATATAATTGACCATGGAACAGTTTCTCTTTAAATCCAACTAAATTCAAATGATGAGATTTATTTACTTGACTGACTGTTAAAAACATATTGTGTTTTCGTTCTTTAGTTTGAGTTTAAATTTGGCTGAACAATCATTTTTGGAACTGAATTTAGTTTTTGTTTTAATTTTTAGGGATAATTAATCTTTTATTCCTTATAGTTTTAACTCATTTGTAACTCAATCCTTATATTTTAACTCAATACAACTCAGTCCTCATAGTTTTGACTCGATTATAACTCATGCCTGAAACTTGATTCGCTGTAATTCGGTCCCTATACTTTTAACTATTTTATAATTTAGTCCCTCCTTTTATTAGATATATAATTTCATTTTTTTTAAAAACACATGGGCTAAATTATAAAGTAAGTAAAACTATGGAGACCAAGTTGTAGAGAATCAAACTTCAAGGACTGAGTTACAACCAAGTTAAAACTATAAGAATTGAGTTACACTGAGCCAAAGTATAGTGATTGAGTTATAAATTGGTCAAAACTATAAGGACCAAAAGATTAAATTTTCCTAATTTATTTTTTATACATATCGAAATACATGTTTGTTTACTGTACATTGTTTTAATTCCTACGTTATAATTTAATTTTTAAAAATATTAAATATAAATCTTCATTTCAATTAAACAACATATAATTGTTGCAATTTATACGTATAATAAATAAGAAAAACAACTCCAAACTTGTATTCATTTTAATATTATTTTAATAGTAGTATTAAGAGGAGGGAAAAAATAAAATTAAAGTAAGAGACAGGTAAAACCTTGAAAAGAAAAAAAGTATTGGCATGACACATTATGGGGCCATTATGTATGGTTTAAAGTTTTGTCATTGAATAGTATATGTTAGGATTTCGTTTTTTCATGAGTTCCATCTGTTATATGAACAAATGATGAAGTTGGCAAAAAAATATGGAAAACAAGTCTTATTTTAAAGAAAAATATTAAAAAGAAAATAAACACAAACGCATACCTGTGAATGAGTTAAGATCCAAATATAATTCTTTCAAAGATGTGCAGTTACTTATTGACTGTGGAATGCTTCCCTCTAATTGATTATCATCAACATCAAAGAATTCAAGTGAAGGGAGACGATGACACATTTCTTCTGGCAAGTTACCCTCTAAGTGATTGTGGCTAAGGTCAACAAGTCTCAAAGAAGACATGTTCCAAAGAAATGGAGGAATTTCACCTATAAATGAACACAATATTTGTTAACTACTTGGTAATATGGCAAGCATGTTCATAATAAAATTCACACCTACACAAGCATATAAATAGTACATGGAATTTTGGTCACTAATAGAAAATAATTTAGTTTTTTTGGTAATTAATGGAAAATAATTTATTTTTCGTTGGACGGTAATTTAATAGAGACTTTCCAATATCAATGACCAATTGGAGATTAAAGGGCTGAAATTTTAGTTTTACTTTAAGGAATTAAAATACTTTTAGTTACACATTTTGAAGATAAAGCATAAAATTAAGGATGGAATTTGGGAAAAAACTGGGAGGTATCCTGAAGATTACTATGCCACAACAAGCATTTATAGCCCACAAAGTTTTCTCAAAAATAATCCAAAATTATCTTATTTCTCTTTTTATAAATTTTTGCCATGAACACAAACTTTTTGACACGGTTCTTTAAAAGGAATTGGGGAAAAAAAAAGCAAAATCTTATTTCAAAATCGTTTTCCATTCTAGAGGTCAAAACAAAAACAAAAACACACACATTGTCTAAGATAATCATATAATTAAAATGCTTACCTTGCAAATTGTTCTCGAAAAGATCAAGGTTTTGGAGGTTTCTGAAATTTCCATTCTCACTTGGGATGATTCCTAGACAAAGTATATATGAAGCCATTTTATTGACCATAGTATATAAATGATGTGGTAGATTAAGAGTGAAATTAAAAAAAATTGTTTTTCACATTTTAAATATCAAGTGGTCCCATCAATTCATGATCTTATCTTTTGTTTATTTTGGCATTACAATAACAAGCTTAATATAAGCTACATTCTATGAATGAACAGCATGAATGAATGAAAATATCAGAAAAGGGAAAAAAGAAGAAGAAAATCATTGTTATTTTGTGATTGTAATCGCTACCTATATTTAAGCCTCCACCATGAATATGTACGATATTAATGAAACGAAGAAAAGGATAAAATCTCATTCTAAATTTATTTTATTATAGAATAATAGTAAAAAAGAAGAAAAGAATAAAAATAGGAAACACTAATGTCAACGCCGATAAAGAGGTTGGCATTGAATTATATAGAAAAATAAAACAATGCATGACATTTTTGTATAATATGCATAAAATACATATATAATATAAAACTGATAGGAACTAACACTTTTATAATTGTACGAACTTCAAAGAGAAAATAAGGCAGATAATATTGTTTGCATATAATATACATAAATAAAAAGAAAACTTCATGCACTAATAAACTGTTGGTTGAGATTATAAGTGATCTCACCCCTATAAGAAGGGGAACATAAATTCGAATCTTGAGAAACATATTTGTTGGCAGGGTTATAACCTTAACAATCCCAACTTGACAGAGATTAGTTCCAAACCCAAAGTAACTTAAGGATATTGTAACTTATAACAAAATTAAAAAAAAAAAAAAGACACTTCTCTAGTATGTCTAAAAATAAGCCCAGACCTTGCCTTAAGTATTAAAAAAGAATTTCAAGTAATACTCATATCAATTCAGAAGAGTAAAATACAAAAGAAAAAATATTTTTAATTAATTTTAACTATTTAAAAAAATTAAAATAAAAAATTATGAAAATCATATATTACACTTGAGGTGACATGATTAGTATATTGGATAAATATTTAATTTTTTTTGTTGGTAAAAATCATTTAATTTGAAATTAATGAATTTGAAAAATAAAAAATTACATGAGTTAGTGAACTTACAAATTTTGTCACGTTGTTTTATTTCTTTATCATCTTAGCTTTTGTCTATTAATTGGATCAAAGCTAAATATTTCTTTAGATCATTGATAATGGAAATTGTTTGGGGAATCGCTGCTGAAAATTTGTTCTTTGAAAGTTATAAAACCTTCAAGTGCTTTATATCCCTATTTCTGGTGGAGCGGTACCTTCAGTGATATTAGATTTCCAATCCAAAGTTCAATTATGAGAATCTATTAAAAAAAAAAGAAGAAGAAAAGTTCAGTTATGAGAATGAATAAAAAAAGAACAGAAGCCTGTATTTCCTCAAAGTTCAATATCAAGTCATCAATTTGATAACATGGATATTTCATATACGAACGGTGAGTATAATTATTTTTTTATAACTATTTGGTCATTTATAGTATTTTTATTTGTAATAAGTAATACACATAAAAAATTATTTTTTTAAATACAATCTTTTTTGAAAGAAATAATGATTAATTAATTAATAATAAAACTGAAATATAACTTAGATGGCCCAAATGAAAACTGAAATGCACCAGATACGTGGGTTGCAAGCCTTCATTATTTTTTTTTAAAAAAATAATCCTTCTAGACATTTTAAATGACATAATAGGAGTATTCATTATTATTCACACGCTAGCTCTTATGAAATTTTGAGAACAAATATTCTCTCTACTTTATTATAAATCATGATTTATTGAAAAGAATATCGATGACTACATTTTTTAAAAGAAAAACAAAAACTTATGAGAAATGCACGCAAAGATACCCAAGAAAATTGGGACAAACATTGTCACGTCATTTTATTTCTTTATCATCTTAGCTTTAATTCTATTAGCTTAGATGAACAATATAAATGAAATGAAGAAAAACAAAATCTCATTTTAGAAAATACAGGTGCCTGAGAAGAATGAAAAAAAAAAGTATAGTAATAAAATGAAAATGAAACCATGCATACTCAAGGTGGTCATCTTCTAGGAGTGAAAAAAGATGGCTAAAGTATACAATTTGTTCTTTAACATTATAAATATTTTCAATTTGATTTCTTGGCTTTAAAATGTATACTTTGCCCTGAAATTGTTAACAAAAAATAATGACATTGAGATTTCAAATGTTAATAAAACATTCTCAAATGCTAATATATTAAGTTTAATTTTCAAAATAACCATAATTTTTATAAGACATCAAACGATTTTAAAGTTAAAGGACATAAAATAAACTTTTTAAAATTGAGAAACCAAATTGAAATATTATATAAAGTTAAAAGATTAAATGTATATTTTAGATGAAAAAAGATTTCATATATGTGATTGTATTATCAATTTATAATACTAGAAAGTAATAGTTTTTTTTTCTGATATATTTTTCTACATGTCAGAAGTTAATATGTACAAGAATTAAATTTAAAGATTTTAAAATATCGTTTAAAACATGCTCAATTTGAATAAGCTAATATAGAACTAAAATTATTTTAAAAAGACCCCGACCCTTAAATTATAATATATATATATATATATATATATATGATGTTGTGCCTTTTAATTGAACAAAATATAAGTGATATGAATGAATGAGATGACAAAAAAAAATCTCATTTTTGTTTTGTTCTATTAGAGTAAATCATCTAAAAGGAAAAGTAAAAGACCATTTCGTAATTTGATCTTTTGATATTTTCAGATTGTACATTACTGGCTATATTTTAACAGAACTAATTTCGGTACTCATCACATTGATAAGTGTCATGATACTTATCAAATTTCAACCATTCAAATTAATATAGACGGCAGAAAATTAATTTCTTATTTTTGTTTTTTTAAAATTTTTTCTTTTAATAGGTAGATAATCCAAAATAAATGTAATATTTTAACTGTAAGTTTTTAAACATAATTTTTTATTTAAAAATTATTAGTTAAAAATTTTAAATTTAGACTATTAAAAGTGTATATAAATGAATGTAATAATTTAGCTTTTTCTGGAAAGCATAATAGTTCCATTTGTTCAAGATCTTAGCTTTATTTGTTATTTTGGGATTGTAACCACTAGCTGTATATAAGCCCTATCATATGGACTATGAATGAACAGTATGAATGAAATGATTGAAAAAAATAATCTCATTTGAGAGAAAAATATTAAAAAAACCAAAAGAAAACACATCAATACGTAAGTGCGTACCTGTAAATGAGTTACTATCCAAATTTAATTCTTTCAAAGATGTGCAGTTGCTTATTGATTTTGGAATACTTCCCTCTAATTGATTATCACTAACATCGAAGATTTTAAGTAAAGGGAGATGATGAAACATTTTTTCTGGCAAATTACCTATAAGCAGATACAAAATATTTGTTAAGTAGTTGACTAGGAATTTCATGAATTTACACTTAACCATACAAATAATGAATGGAGTTGTGTCAATTAGAGGCTTAAAACTATTATAAAATAATTTAGTTTTTATTGGAATGCAATTTAAAGGGAACTCTTCTGACATCAATGAACAATCGAACAGTAAAATTTCTTTCAAAGAAGAAATGCTAAAGATAGATTACGTAATTAATTTCACCTATTTAAAATAAACAATCAAATTATTTATAGCTTTCATATAAATTATTTAATACTGACAAGGCTCTGACTTTGAATATGATAAATTCTTTATAGGAAAATTTAGTTTTCCTTATTTACGAAGTTAAAATACTTCCAGTTACACATTCTGGAGATAATATAGTATAAATAGTAAATGAATTTTTTACCAAAGCACTGTATACTAGAATTTTTCCCCTGGTAGCTCTTGTGAAATTCTGAGAACCAATATTCTATCTACTTCAGTTCTGATTCATGATTCATTGGAAAGAACATCAATGACTAAAATTTTTAAAGATAAAAAAACTTTTAAGAAATGCGCAAAGATACCCAAAAAATTGGGACAAACATTGTCCTGTTGTTTTATTTCTTTATCATCTTAGATTTTTTTTCTATTAACTTGGACGAACAATATAAATGAAATGAAGAAAAACAAAATATCGTTTTGGAAAATATAGGTGCGTGAGAAGAGTTAAAAAAAAAAAAGTAATAAAATGAAACAAGAAAGCTCTCTGTGAAACCACCTTGTTTTATTTCTTCATCATCTTAGTTTTTGTCTGTTAATTGGGATGAGCAATATAAATGAAATGAAATCAACAATACTATTCAGCTCAAAAGAGGGGGGGAAAAAGGATTAATATGACTTTTGGTTCTTCAAATTTACTTTCATTTTGGCTTCAGTCTCTTAAGTTTCTATCGTTTGAAACATTAGCCCTATAATAATTTAATAAAAACTTAAACTATTTTGCTCCTTAAAGGATCAAAACTAATGGTTTAAAATTTGAGAGACTAATACCAAAATTTGACTAAATTTGATGGACTAAAGATTATATTAACCGTAATATAAAACTGATAGGTACTAGCATTTTTATAACTGTACGAATTTTAAAAAAAATAAAGCAGATGGTATTGTTTGCATATAATATATATACATATAGATACTGATCCTAAATATAAAAACTAATTAGATATTTAATTTGATCATAAACATAAAATCGCAATCCACTTTGTCTCTCATATTTATTCATTTTTGCCCAAAGTAGTTCCATAGTGATTACAACATAAATAAATTAAGAAGATACAATTTAATTATCTGTCTAACTATTTAAAACATCTCGTATTCATTCTTCAGTTTGAGCTTCTTCTTCTTCTTCTTCTTTTTTCTCCTCTAAACCAGTTTGAGCTCAAGTATGATTGAATTAAGTGTTTACTGAATTGCATTTAAACTTTTAAATTAAATTCTATATTATTATTCATAATTGATATTTTATGCTAATTTTCTTTAAATGAATTTTTTACTTATTTTAAATTCTTTAGTTCTTATGTCGTAATTTCTTAGAATAATACATAAAATTTCAATTTTAATTATAAATTACACTAGAGGCGAGATAAGTATTTAAAAATAAAATTAATTTCAAAATAAAAAATTAATTCGTGTTGGCAAAGAATTATTTAATATGAAATTAATGAATTTGCAAATTAAAAAAAAATGAAACAAGAAAGCTCTATGAAACCATACTTCCAGGAGTTGAAAAAAGTTGATGTACCACACACACACATCTCTCTTTGTGTGTTATATCGATTTATAATATCAGTAAATATTAATTTTCTACATTTTTATGATACAATTCCTGCAACGTGCAAATTTCTAAATGATAATATAAAACTAAAATTACTTTAAAAAAGCTACAACCCTTAGATGATTGATTATATATATAATTTTTTATGTAAGGTATGTAAGTTTTTTTTTCCCTCAGCTGATCGATTATTCATTGATTGAAAAATTGAGATTAATTATCTTTCTTTTAAAAAATAAAAATTAAAGAAAACTAGCCATTGATAATAAAATGCAGGGGAAAATGAAACATTGAAGTCCGACTAGACCTTTTCATCATTCTTATCTAGTGCCCCAAAAGTTGACACACGTGAAAGGAAAGCCACAGCAAAAGAAGTTACAAATATTGATTAATTTATTTTTCTTTATGTAGTCTTTTTTTTAATGATTTCAATATTTTATTTTTATTCTCTTGACATGTCTGTGAAAATTATATATCAAAAGGAAGAATATATATTCAATTTGGGATTAAATGAAAGCATCACATTCCATGTGAAAATCATTATACACTGAATTTGTTAGGCAAATATTTGTGACTTATCAAAATTTAAAATAATCATATAATCAAAAGTCTTACCTTCCAAGTTGCTACTGGGAAGAAGTAGCCGCCAAAGTTTGGTCAAATTTCCAATGTCAGTTGGTATGTTACCTCTGTTGAATTTGTTTTTTCCCAATTGCAATTCTAGTAATTCTGTGCATTGATGCCAAGTGGAGGGTATGTCGCCAGACAAATCATTTTCATTCACATAAAACTTTTGTAGCTTTGGAAGCCCAGCACACACGTTTGTTGGGAGACTTCCGGATAAGTTATTTATTGCAAGTTGGAAGTCTTGGAGCACTGAATAGTTGAATAATGAAGATGGTATTGAACCCGCAAGTTGATTTGCGCCAAGATACAATTTTTTCAATTGTGAAAGATCCCCAATCTCATTTGGAATGCTCCCTTCAAACATTAGGTGGGACAAAAGAGAATAATGTTAGTAAAAAAATTTTACTTATTAATATGTTAGTATGCACATGAGACAAATTTGTATTTTTTTTAAACATATATAGTAAGACTTGCACATTTTTGAGAAATAACACAAATTTATTCTAAATTATAAATCACAACTACAATTGTTATTGTTAAAAACGAATAACCCTTTCAATTTGGCTGGGCCATTCACCATACAACAAATAATTTGGACATGTGATTTGTTGGGAAATTTGGATGAACTAATGTTGGAGAACATATTGGGCTATTCTACAAGGCCCATTACATTGTGTTTTCTGCTTCCCTTCAGTTTGTTTTTGTGAGATTTAGATTATTTATCACTGTTATCTTTTAAGATTTTGTGGATTTATTAATTCAGATTGAGTTTCTTCAATAAAAATTGAGGAAACAAACTAAGAGACACATCGAAATCCAATTGACCCTTGCTTTTCATCATGAGACTCCCGGAAAAATAGTTCTTGCAAACTACAAAATTTTTAAAAAATAAAAGTATTAATTTAGATTATCCAAAACAAAATTAAATGTTCCAAGTATGTTTCTTTCTAAGATTTTCCCATTTTGAAAAAATAAATCCTTCAGAAACTTTTTAATGACAGAATAATAAACATTTATTTTCAAAGATTGATGATGAGAATTTAGATCTGTTTGGAATAATATTCTTTTCCCCAACCATTTTAAAAATTGGATGACGAATTTTTAATTAAAAAAAGAATAGAAAATTTCTGGAAAAAATAAGAAGAAATGCACAAAAATGGAAAAAATTAGAAAACAAAAACTAAATGTTCCAAGTATGTTTCTTGTAAGGCTTATTCATTTTTGAAAACAAAAACTGCAGACATTTTTTAATAGCAGGATAATAAAAATTTAATTTCGTAGACGGACGATGAGCCCTTAAATCAGTTTGGACTAAAATTATAACAGTACTCTTTTTCTCCGTGTTATGACTTTACTAACCGTTTCAAAAACTGGATGACTAATTTAGCAAAATCATTATTCACTAGTGTCTGATGAAATATTGGAATATAATTTAATGCAATCATATAATTAAATCAGTAGGCTGATTCCAATATATAATATTTTTATTTTTGGTAAAGATACAATATTTTTAGTTGTTAAATATCACCAATCTCTTTTGGAATGTCTCCTTGAAATATTAGTAGGGAAAAAGAAAGTAATGTTAATGACAATTTCTTTTTTCGGCGTATGACAAGGTATTATATACATGAGATAATTTATATATTTTTTTGAAAAAATACAGTAAGACTTGCACATTTTTTAAAAATAACAGAAATATATTCCAAATGATTAAACACAACTACAGTATTATTTTTAAAAAGGTATAACCCTTTTATTCATCTGAGCCAATATCCATTGGATGGACTCATGTTGATTAAAATTAAGAAATATATTGAAACCCAATCAGTCCTTCCTTTTCATCATTCGTATTAAACGCTAAAACACATATTTTTTGGGAGACTGCCACAAAAATTATTTTTGTTAATTTAGTTCGCCACATTATGAGAGACTAGCCCCTTCTGCTAGACTCAACCCCCGTTAGTTGGTCTTGATCATTTTATTCATCCATACAACCCCAAAATAACAGAAAGATAGGATCATGGCTTCACGAGCTAAGATGATGGGCCCACTTCAAAAGCAGATTTTTTAGGAAAAATAGATATGATAGTCCTTATAGTTTTATCAAATTTTGAATTAGATCCTCATAGTTTTTTCTTTTCTTTTTGTACAGTTACAACAAGGGAAAAATAAATACACTAGTGTAATAACATATCTAATAGGCTCATCATGAGTAATACGTGTTTATTATTCTGTCATTAAATCCACTGGATGGACTCATGGTGATTGACATTAAGAAATATATTGAAATCCAATCGGTCCTTCCTTTTCATCATTCCTATTAAAACCTGTTTTTTGGGAGACTCCCAGAAAAATTATTTCTGTTAACTCTAAACACTTTTTTAAACAACAATAATTATTAATAAATAATAAAATAAAAATAAAAATTAGATTATCCCATTCAAAATTAAATGTTCCAAATATTTTGTTCTAAGGTTTACTCAACTTGAAAAAAACCCTTTAAAAGTTTTTAATGACAGAATAATAAGCACATATTTTCAAAAACTTGCGACAAGCCTATTATTAGATATGTTATTACACTCGTGGTGTGACTGTATAAACCGTTTCATGATTCTGATGATGAACGGTTTTTTCCCTTTAAAAAATAATAGAAAAATGTTGGCAAAATTAAAAAAAATTCATAAAAATAACAAAAAAATTAAAAATTAAAAACAATCAAGAGAACTAGGATAAGATTATGCTAACCAAGTACGCTACCTTAAAACAAAAACAAATATAAATATTAGAATAATCAAAGACATACCTGACAAACTGTTATGCGACAAACTCAATAACTCAAGTGAAGATAAGTTGGAAATTGTTTGGGGAATGTCTCCTGAAAGCTTGTTACCCGCAAGACGTAAAATGGTCAATTTCTCAAGTCTTCCCACCTCAAGTAGAATGGTCCCTTCAATGGAATTAAAATTCCAGTCCAATGTCTCTAACATTGTCAGATTGAATAGAGATGGTGGAATAATTCCATTAAAACTATTATTTCGAAGATTTAGTTTCTCAAGTGAAGATAAACCTCCTATCCCTGTTGGAACTTGCCCATGAAAGCCATTGCAGCTCAAATTGAGTAGTTCCAATCTACGCAATTTAACTAGCTCGTTTGGTATTTGATCATGAAAATCATTGTCACTGATGTCAAGTTCAACAAGGAACGAGAGATTTCCTAGTTGTGGAGATATGGTACCCTTAAGATCCATGCCACCAAGATTCAAGGAGTGGACTCTTCCATGACGAATATTGCATGTGATACCAATCCAGCTGCATGGAGAAGAAGAGACAGACCAATTAGCTAAGACATTGTGTGGATCTGAAGTGATAAAGGATTTAAAGGCAAGAAGTGCAGATTTGTCAGTAGTGATATTTGTATCACTCCAAGCTAAGGAGGCCATGAAGGAATGGAGTAAGAAGAGGAAAACAAAGGAAGAAGGTCTTCCCATTATGTGTAGCATATCAGACTTATCAAAATCTCAAGTATTCTGCATCCAGGAATTAACATACACATCGTTTTATACTTCTTTGATTCCACATCAAACAAAATGCGTAGTTGGAAAATGACATCTGTTGTGGTAAGATTAGAAGAAATTCAACTAAAAATTAATTATTTTGCTTGTGGTCGCGTGTGGCAGGCTATGAAATAAGGAGAAGCTTTGCCCTTTAATTTCACTGCGTGTTGAACAATTTCATTTTTGGGACCGCACTTTTATTATTGAAAAGAAGCTTGCGTACGTGGATACATTGTTCCTTCAATATTTTTGCATTTTCTTTTCTATTGTTTTTAATTTTTGGGTGAGACAGTTATTCTTTTCTTCAAATTAACCACCATGCATGAAATCTAAATTGATGAAAGAAATTTGTGTTTTGTATTATTCCTCTTTCCCATTACATGTGGTTAATTCAATTAATCAATTTATGCATATTTTTATAAGCTTGCAGCTAATTATTCAAGGAAACTACTGTATATTTTAATACATATGAATATTGAAATTATCATTTGATAAAAGATTTGCGAGTAGAGCAAATAATAAAAATGTTAGTATACAAATTATTAATTACTAATGTGTGTGTAAATATTTATATCAGTGGTTGACTTTTCAAACATTAAGTCATCCAAAAAAGAAAAACGAAAAAGAAAGAAAATGACATTAGTGATGAGGATAAATTTTAATCTACAAATAGTCTGGTATCACATGGAAGAACACATTTTTATTTTCATTGATTTGGTCTAACATGAGAGAGTTCCAAACGAACGTCGGTAAGAAGAAACATATACGCGTCAAAGACATCACACTCCATTTCATAAGAAACTACTTCTAAATATCTCCTCTTGTGTGGATATTTTATTTTGTTGATATCATCTTGGTCCATAGAAAAATAACACTTAAAAATGCACGTAAATAATACAACTTTATGTGTATTGGGATACACTGGAAAATCTGAATCATTGACCTCTATATCGACACCTAATTGGTTAAGAATTTATTTAGTTACTCTATAAATATATAAAGCCAACAATTTTATTTTTCTCAGTAAACCAAAAGAAATCTCTCTCTATCTTTCAATAATTAGACAGATAAAAATGCCGATTCCTCTTTTCATCGCACTCCCCCTCTCTCCCTCCGTTGCCAAGTCAAAGCACGCACATAAATAGAAGATTAATTATTAGTGTGGGGACTTGAGTTCTTTTTTTCATTTTAAAATTAGTGTTTAACTTTCAAAAATTTAAAATTTAGTTTAACAATACAAATCATAGATGTCACAGGTTTTATTTGGCCAGCACATAAATACTCCCTCCGTTCTTTATTATAAGAGAAATTTGATGCTTATGGCATGTTCCTATATATAAGAGACACTTAAAAGTTGTCTCTACTTTTTTGTGTTGATTTTTTATTTTACCCATATTTATTTTGTCTCCAATTCACACTATCTCTCCCTCCCACTTCTCTTTCTTTTAATAATTTAATTGTTCTCTCTCATGTTCTCTCTCCTTATTAATGAGGGTATTTTTGAGAAAAAAATTATACTTTTTACACATTGATTGTTCTTAACTAATTTTAACTGCTTTTTTGATCAATATAATTCGGTTATTCGTCTCTTATAATAAAGAACGGAGGGAGTATCACTTTTTATCTTTGAGACTTTGTGCATTAATGAATATAGCCGAAGTCTTTAAACGTTGAGGAGCTCTTTCCCCTACCTCCCTCCCTCTGAATTTTGAATATTCTGACAAAAATGCCGATTCCTCTTTTCATCGCACTCCCCCTCTCTCCCTCCGTTGCCAAGTCAAAGCACGCACATAAATAGAAGATTAGTTATTAGTGTGGGGACTTGAGTTCTTTTTTTCATTTTAAAATTAGTATTTAACTTTCAAAAATTTAAAATTTAGTTTAACAATACAAATCATAGATGTCACAGGTTTTATTTGGCCAGCACATAAATATCACTTTTTATCTGAGACTTTGTGCATTTATGAATATAGCCGAAGTCTTTAAACGTTGAGGAGCTCTTTCCCCTACCTCCCTCCCTCTGAATTTTGAATATTCTAAAGGTTTTTTCTTAATATTATTAATAGATGAATATGTAATTAAATTGAATTTATTGATACTTTGATAAATAAATTTTATGGAGTCATGAATTATGATAATTTAAGCAAGCCAAAAATAAATATATGAAAAGATTATATGGATTTTTAAAAAAAATCCCAAAATAAACAAAACTGTTATAAATAAAAAAGAAATAAAGAAGAATAATAAAGAAAAAGAGAGGATCAACGAGAAAGAGTATTTCTCATTCCATGCAAATGTTGCTAAATACATGATACATGGCTTCTATTATAGGCATAGCTTTACACTTTTTATAGGATCTACAAATTACACAATAATAGAAGATAATTGTGGGATATAGAGAAAATGGGAGATATATGGATATCTACAAAGATATTATTATATTCATAACACTCCCCTTGGATGTCTAGTATATATGAATGTGCCTCATTAAAAAATTTTAATTAGGAAAAACCCTGTGGGACAAAAACCTAGCAGAAGAAAAAGAATACATCATTTAGTGATACACTATGCAATGCTGCCTCGTTAAAAACCTTGCTAGGAAAACCCAGTGGGACAAAACCATAGATAAGAAAGAAAGAGTACAGCATGTATCAACTCCCCCTCTTGGGAACATTAAATAACATCTTCGAGCCTGTAAAGTCTAATATAACAAACAAGCCTTCCAAATATTATAGTGAAATAAAAACGTCAAATATTAATTCCATAATCTTCTGAAAATCATGAGACAAATAGTTCTTTTATGTTTTATCCACACATGGGTCTTACTTTGATCTCTTGACATGAGGATCAAAAAAGAATACTCTATCTAATAGCTAGTAAAAGTAGTCTTGGGTACCTTCAGATAAAATAATATTACCTCCACGGTACCCTTAAAGTAATGAAAAATGTTTTTAACTTCATTCCAACATCTTCATATTGATAAAAAAAACTATATCAAGCTAATTAGCAAATGATATATCAGGTTTGTGTGGCTAGACAGACATATAAGGGCCTCAGTGACAATAAGATATGGCACTTCTTGACCAAAGTGTTTATTCATCACCTTCTGGAGGTCTAAATTGATTTTTAGTCCATATCTAAAGATCTTGCAACTATCAAAACACATAATGGATGTGACTTATTCATACAATGGCTGAGATTATCCTAAATGATCGATTACAAATACGAATACTTTGAAACATTATATATACAATGTTCAAGATATTTTCATTTGAATAAAGCAAACGATACTTTAGGAAAAAAAATCATAGAGATGATACTCTTAAAGTCATGCTAAGAATCAAAGGTATGTCATACGTAACTTGGTTAGAGTTTCGTGCTGATAACGTGTTATAAATAAAAAAGAAATAGAAAAGAATAACAAAGAAGAAGAGAGAATCAACAAGAGAGAGTATTTCTCATTCCATTCAAGGGTTGTTAAATACATGATACATTACCTTTATTTATAGACATAACTTTACATCTTTGATAGAATCTACATATTACACAATAATAGAAAATAATTGTGGGAGATAGAAATAATGGGAGATATTGGAGATTATAAGAGATATTAGGAGATAATGGGAGATATATAGACATCCATAGAGATATTATTATATTCGTAACAAAAACAATATTTCCACAAGCTCAATAACTAAATATTTATGAAGTTATTTTTTTTTTTTAATGAAAAGGACTCACTCATCCACGGATCCACCTCAAAAGCATAGGTTTTTCAAACATTAAGTTGTCTCAAATGGAACGAAAGAGAAAGAAAATTGAGTTAGCAATGAGGAGAAATTTTAACCCCACAAGTGGTTCATTATCATAGCAAAGACCATATTTTCATTATCACAGTATTATATAGACTACAAAGTAATCAAAATGTACATTAGTGATGGGAACAAGATTTGTTGCTTTACAATTATGTAATTTCATTTTCATTGCATTAGTCTGATAAGAGAAAATACCCCAAAGTCTAAATTTGATTCTGGTAAAAAAAAGAAGGTCTAAATTTGATTGATGCATACCTCAGTGTTACACTCCATTTCATAAGAAGCTGCCTCTAATTATCTCCTCCTATATGAATATTTTATTTTAGTAGTACCATCTTGGTTTAAAATTAAAATACCCCTTAATTGACGTCAATAATACACCTAAATAATACCACTAAATATAAATACTATATATACATATATTGATGGTGCATATTGATTGTCTAATTAAAAAAAAAAGGAAATAATGCATGCCCAATAGTTTTGAAAGGAAGCAAAACATATCACAGAATTAGCATGAAAAGAATTCAAAGCAATGCTAGCTGTGCAAAATTGTTATGTCTAAAAGCCAAGAAGAGTTGCATAATGTTAAAGTTATATGATTCATTCACTACATAATCAATCTAAAGGTTAAATATTTACTAAGAGGAAAAGAAGTTAAGAAAGCACTTTTTGCGGTGTTGTCACGGGCCTTCGAAGACGCACTTATGGCAGGATCTTTAAAGTATGTAGCCAAAAAATATGACTTACACACCCTTTAAAGTTTGATGTGTACTGACATATTATGATTAAATTTATTAAAATTCTTTTTGCCAACATTGTGATGAAAATATATTTTGTGGACGATATAACTAATTTAAAAATGTAACAAAACTGGCAATCTTTAATTTTTACTTGAGGAGGTATGTTTTAGTCTTCTTTAATAATTTGTTATGTATTTGGAAACCAACCAAACAGGTATAAATTTGAATAAAGTGTTTTTTTTTGGGTTAATTTTTATTGTTCATTCTTTCTAGATCGTCTTATTCTTTTTCTTTCTTTTTCCTTTTGGCGTAACTGATCTATAGTCTGGACTCTGGTGCTTTAAGGGGGTCTGAAAAAGTCGCGTAGAAAAAATGGTTGTAAGGATGAGAAGA